ATTTCACAAAAATGACAAATTGCTTTATGGTAGCAACAAATGCACATGTACAGCTACCCACTGTAGTTACAACAGTATTATTCACAACAGTAAATTCCAAGTACTTCACTGTAAGGGGCTCCAAAGTCGCAAAAATCCACAAAACTACATACAGTTGCTTTAAACTTTTGTATGACAGGGTGATGCATGTTGAGGCCAAATTTAACAATCGTCTTGCAGGAATCTCCATGTCGAAGAGAGGCCTCTTTCATCAGTAAACTCGAGAAATGATTGTTCATACTGTTGAGTGATGGATACTATACATCACACCTACAGAACATCAATCAGACAGAATGTTTGAGTTTGACATGCTGCTCTAAATGCCACAGTGTGAGATAATAATGCTGTGCGGCTTCTGCACAGGAGCTGACAAGCGAGAGAGACAGCAAGGACCCTTAAACACGAAATGAGTGTCAGAGATATCAGCACCTTTTTCTATTTTTATCTTTTCAGAACATTGTGGATGCTTTGTATGGACTTTTAAAGGTTACTTTGCTTCAAACTGTAGATTATATACCACAAATATAGTGTATATTGCATTTTACGTTAACATTTTTAGGTCATGGTACCATGACAGTCAGCATCTAGTTTTGTTGCTATCAGCAATAACCATAATGTTTTGACGCACACACAACAGGAAATCTGAGATCAGATGGGTCCTTTGACACTGTAGCAAGCTGTGAGTCTTGCATATCAGTTAAATGGTTGCAGGATTAGTCATTTTCCCACCTCGTCAAACTACACCAATCTGAAGAGGCTCTTGTGGGGTTGATGGCAGGGAGTAAAAATAGTAACAAATGCTATTTATAAGACACAGGAACAGACACAGGGAGGGAAACAGCAGCCTTTATCAGAAGATCTTACAGATAACTCTCTTAATCCAGTTTTAATTTGGCTTCTATTTTTTTGACAGCTCGCTGGATGAGATGCATTGCCTGAGCAGGAAGCCCAGGTCATATCTGCTGAACTCCTACAATGATTTTCAGGAGACTGATGAGATTGCCAGAGAATCATATGAGGCCACCTGGTTAGACCTACTGATGGAGACAAGACCCGAATACAAGTATGCATTTCTGTTTTCTATGTGTTGTATTTGCAGATATTAAGTGGCTTTAAAGGAATACTTCACCCCAAAATTAAAAATGTTAATATTTACTTGCTCTTTTGCTGTTCACAAGTTATATAATAGTTACACAAGCTATACAATAGTTACACAAGCTATAGCGCACAAGTTGAATGGACTTTTATGGTGCTTTGAAGGTCCGTGTACGTTGCGTTCATTCGTTTTTTGACTGAAAACAGAAACATGAGAAAACGACACCATTGCCTACACAGAAGTAAGCCCTGTCTAGGCACTGCCACAGTCCGGTTTGTGTCAAGCCATTTGTTAGACTGGTTGTTTGATGAGAGAGATGAACTGTAATTGCAATAAACACTTTAACTAGGCTATAGCAGCAGAGGACTATTATTCTGTTGCACGGACCTGAAGAAGACATGATGACGGCACCATTTGATCTTTGCTTGACCAATCAGCAGAAAAGGGGTGTTTCATTCAAGCGTAAAAATAAAACGAAAAATCCAGGCAAATTCTTGTTTTTGTTTTTTTTCTTATGCTCACCAAGAATGCATTCATTTTATGAAAAGTACTGTAAAAACAGTAATATTATGAAAATGTACTAATGTGAACCATTTTCTATTTTAATATAAAAAGTAATTTATTCCTGTGACAACAAACTGGATTTTCATCATTACGCCATTCTTCAGTGCCACATGATCCTTCAGAAATCATTCTAATATGCTGATTAGATGCTCAAGAAACATTTCTTTTTTTTTTTTTTTTGAGGATTATTTGATAAATAGACAGTTCAAAAGAGCATTTTTAATTATAAATGTTCAAAAGAACAATATTTAATATTATAAATGTCTCTGCTGTCACTTTAAACTATTTTATGCATCCTTACTGAATAAAAGCATTCATTTCTTTATGTAATTTGCTTTTTACTAACTTTTACAAGTCCCGCTTCACAGGATGACACTTGTTGAAAAGGACTCAATGAGAAAGGAGAGCTATGAAAGCAAGCAAGTGGTTCATTTCTCAGTGAGATGTTTCCTAAACCAAACAATTCACATGGGGAGAGATGGGGAGCCACTGCAGGAATATTGTTTACCTTACAGAAACACTCTTCCAATACCAATATTTGTGCCCAGAGATGTCACACAGCCTGACATTATCCGTGAGCCCTCTCCCTCCAGAACAAAATCCACCATGGACTCTGAGACTAGTTTAAATGGAGTTTGCCTTCAGAAGAGAGAGGTCTCGTCCATCACCGAACATAAGCCAATGGTAATCCAACCCAGGAGTCCAAACTTCAGAGTGTCCAGCCTCATCTCTCCACCACGAGACACACTCAGCTTCCAGCGAAGAGAATGATGAGCTGATGAAAGCTGTCTGCCATCATTGACACGGATACAGTGACAAGTATGGTGGGTGACCTCACTCATACTTAAATACCAAAGCCTTCAAGAGCCCCATATGCTCACAATTTGTTTTCAGCTGAGACTACCAGCGAAACCTTATCAAAGGAAAATGCTGTGCTTCAAGTATTTATTTACAATAAATGCCACTTGGTGTGTTAACACAATAACATTATTCATTTTCTAAATGTGCCTTAAGTGTCCAAATCCTTGCAAAACAAAATAAATGGGGAAATAGGAAATATTTAGTAATGGTCTTAAACCTGAATATTCTAAAAACAATCATCATCTGTTCAAAACAGCTAGTTCTTGGAAATAAATCTTTTAAATAAACACTTTCAAACTGTAATAAATTCTTTCTTGTCAGAAAACATTTATTACACATAATTTTTATGTTTGTGGTACATGTTAGTTAAATGAATAATTTGCCTAATAAAGTTCATCAGTAATGCAACAAATATGAAATCATCCGTTTCTTCTGCTTTCTACATGATCGATTGAACTGAAAGAAAAGAAAAATAGAGCTGAGAAGCACAAAAATTTTGCCAAAGAAAATATACACTTTCATGTTCTGGCGTGATTGTCAAAGACTCAAGGCTCAAGTGGTTTCACAAAAAAGTTTGGCATCATAAATAGTTGATAAATAAATCACGGGGATACCTTGGATAAGCAAAGGAAAACATTTAAGGAAGAAAATTCTTCTTGTTTTATATAGAGATCTACACTCGTCAAGGTCTGCTGGAGTTTGGCGATGCCCCTTTTAGCGTCTCTTCTGCCCTCTTGTGTTTCTGCAGGGTGACCTGGAGCTGCCAGTACCTGAGATACAGCCACATCAAATTCCCATTCTTTCGCTTATCCATGTTCAGTAAATCTGCACAGTGTCTGTCTTTCTTAAAAATGTCCCTGAGATCTTCTTCAAGGTTCAGCTCGGCACCCACCGGGTCTTTAGCCACCTTCAACAGAAGATTCTTCTCCATCTCCAGACGATGTTCCCGTGGCAACAGGATGCTGCAGAAAGCTTCCTGCCTCTCCACCAGCTTCACCTCCAGTTCCTGTAGCAGAGCCTGAGCCCTGCGCTGCCAGTCCTCCTCTCGCTGCAGGGCTTTCCGCAGCGCCACCCTGGCCACTCCAGACTGCAGCAGACGGTTCTTCTCCTCCTCCAGATCCTGGCGTTCCTGCTGAAGCTGCTTCCGTTCCTCCATAAGCTGCTGACTCTGAGAGATCAGGGCTTTCTTGTAGCCCTGAACGCGCTGGCGTTCCTTTTCAAGCTCCACCTCCAGGTGTGCTGCTGTCCGCCGGTTTTCCGTCAGCGTCTGACTGTACTTCAGCTCCAGGTCTCTGGTAATGGCTGTCATGTCGCTGTCGTACTTGTTCTTCACATCTTGGATCTGACTCTGTGATTCTCGAGTCCATATCCAACCTATCCAAAATACACCCACCGATATCTTAAGTGTTAAATCTCTTTGGAAAGAGAGACCAAATCAATTTAAGGAGAACATTACTTTTGACATATACGTTAAAGCAAAATAATACCACATAAATTGCTTTCAATCTATTACAAATTATGTAATGAAATCATATATTTATTTATTAACCTTTTTGTTAATTAAAATGGTTAATTAAAATGTTACCTAAAACTATTCTTTTTTTATTAAGCTGAAATAAAAATATATAAAAATAAAATAGGCTGAAGTACTAAAATTACTAAAACTAATAATAAATTAAAACTAAATAGAAATATAAAAAACTAATTAAAAAAAGCAAAAGCAGATAAAATTACAAAAATTAAAACGGAAAATGATAAAAAAAAAACTAACTCAAAATATTGATAAATAATACAGTAGTATATAAATAATAATATTACATTAACAAAATGAAATACTATATAATACTAAAATAACTATATTTATCAACACAACCTACATACAATACACATAAATCAACACTAAAAAGCAATCGTAGTTCTAATAATTTGTAGCAGATTTAGAGCATTTTTAGATTAAAATTAGGATGTTTATTGAGCACTCATTAAGATGAGGAGCTGATTATATAAAGGAGCTGTTGATCTATTTCTCAACATGTATACTTAAGTGAACGTGGGAATGAAAATGTTATTACATGAATGAATTTATTATAATGATTGTTTGTGCAACCCCCCCCCTAAAAACCCAGATTTAATTGAACCTATAAAGCATTTTATCTAGTATAATATAGTACACACTCATTCAAGACATTTGTGATGGTGTATGAGCCTTGAGTTGTAAAAGTATGTAAAACACTAACGAAATGCTGCCAGCCCGATCATGGGCACCAGCAGGGCATAATTCCATCTGCCCCCGTCATCTCCTCCAGCGGGCTCTGGTCTAATATTCCATCTAGGAGGATTGTTCAGGTTGTTCATGGAGAAACCCTGATAAAACAGTGAAAGAATGTACTTAATGGGCTGAGGATGAAGATCTCTTTTCAAGTTCAGTAAGGTGCTGTTTTGTCACAGTGTGTCACTGCACACATGAAGTCCTCAGTGTCCACAGCTTGTTAGTTTGCTAGAGAAATGAAGTCTAGAGAAGAGCTAAATATTAGACTATATAGACTTTACCTGTTAGTGATGTCTTAATTATTTAATGTATGTTTAAATAAATCTGTTACAAAACAAGTTATGACAGCCACTATGTAAATGAATATATTTTAACAACAAACAGAAATGTTATCATTTAGAAGTTAATTTAAAAACTACATTATGTGCAATTTACATGTTTGCATACAATTTATTTTTAAAGTTGAGTGCTGATTATTATATTTAAAAATAAATAGTAATGAAATTTAAGTTTGGAAAATTGTAATTATAATTGAATTTAATTAATGAAAGAGCAATTTGTTCATTAACCACTGTTTAATTAAAAAAAAAGCTATGTTATGTTTAGTTTTTCCCTCTGCTGTACCGAAACCATGTTTCACCATGAATCATGTTTGTGTACAGTTACACCCCTACTATCTATCTATCTATCTGTCTGTCTGTCTGTCTGTCTGTCTATCTATCTAAATGTCATGACATCAGCGACCTGCAACACAACACTGCTAACGCTGCAACCCTGCAAAAGATGATGAATGTATTTCTCCAGAAGGTGCATTTAAACTGAAACACACTTATTTAACAACTTCTAGATTATATAGATTTGTTATCATTTGACTGTTTTGTTTCTTAGCTTACCTTGAACAATCTAAAGTCTTCTGTATGAGTTCCTTCCGGACAGCTTGCCTTGGACGATTATGCAATGCCATTAAAAACACCCAACAGTCCATTTATCATTTTATAGGGGAGCTTGTACGTTTATTATTAGAATATACATAGTAAATACATCGTATACAATTAGAAGTAGTCTTTAAATTAATTGGTCTTTAAAGTACTTATTATTAAGTGGTCATATAGATAAATCTTTATTTACACAAACTATAGAAATGCAGTTGTTTTGAGTTTTGAACACCCCTAAACTATAGTGACACATTGGTATAGTCCTGAGAGCGGCTCATTTAGATTCTACGTTCTAGCAAATGCGCAGGAGTTGCGCAGACTGATGGGCAGAAGAGGTCGGAGTTCCTTTGAATTACAGTGAGATCTCTTAGTTATGCGTAATAAAGCTCTTTGATAATTTTTTTAAAAAATGACTATTTTTGAATATGCACTATAGTAATACCATGTTTTTATATGGATTTCTACAATGGTGTGCATAAATGATCATCAGTTAAAATAAGAATGTTGTTTTGATATTAAACAGGATAAAGGTAACATGGTTTACACTGTCATGTGACTTTGATACCCACTGATCATCTGCCAGTCTGCTTCACATTGGGGTCCCGTTCATCCTATTTTTTTTTTTAAATTACTTTTAACTTTCATTTCAGAATCAGAATCAGAATTTCAACCCTTTTCTGGCTTTAACCATGAAACCCTCCACAATAGGTGTATGATAATGACTTAAGATAGCATTGATCTTCTAATTAGCCATGTTAACTCTTATTATTCACAATATGGTACAGTATCACATTGCATATTTTTAAATCAATTAATTTATCTTGTATCATTTTATATAGTATTGTGGACAATAGCCTCTCTATCTATCTCTATCACTCATCTTTCAACTACAATATTACAAGAACCGAGCCAAGGACTGTTATAAACCACTAAAACAAGGGTATAAAAAATGATGACTGATCTATTAAAATGCTAACTGAAGCATAATCACAAAATAGTTAATGAATATGAAACTCTGATTTTTATTTCACAAAAGTCTTTATTTTACAGCAGTTACATGTTAAACCAATAAGGGCGTTTCCTGTTGCGTTCTATTATTCTCTTGTCCTTATCTGCTTCAGAGGGATTTTCATTTTCATACAAAACAACAGACTCTACAGCAGGAGCATTGAGAGGTCCGCCGTCCATGATGGAGATTTGCTTTCGTATCATTGCCGTCTCCTTCCTGACCTTTTCAAAGCAGAATCCACACAGAGTATGCTTTAGTTTCATGTTGCCACACTCTGGACACGGCTCAATGTTGTACTGGAAAAGAAAAGAAATATAAAAGAAGGATAAACTGCTGTTTACTACAGCACAGTATAACATTGAAAGTTATTTTAACATTTCAGAATCAGAATCAGAATTTCAACCCTTTTCTGGCTTTAACCATGAAACCCTCCACAATAGGTGTATGATAATGACTTAAGATAGCATTGATCTTCTAATTAGCCATGTTAACTCTTATTATTCACAATATGGTACAGTATCACATTGCATATTTTAAAATTTTTAAATCAATTAATTTATCTTGTATCATTTTATATAGTATTGTGGACAATAGCCTCTCTATCTATCTCTATCACTCATCTTTCAACTACAACATTACAAGAACCGAGCCAAGGACTGTTATAAACCACTAAAACAAGGGTATAAAAAATGATGACTGATCTATTAAAATGCTAACTGAAGCATAATCACAAAATAGTTAATGAATATGAAACTCTGATTTTTATTTCCCAAAAGTCTTTATTTTACAGCAGTTACATGTTAAACCAATAAGGGCGTTTCCTGTTGCGTTCTATTGACGCTGCAGAGAACGTCCGAGAAACTGAAGTAAACCCGATAATAACATTATGTGTGGTGTTTTATGTCCGTTTAATTTAACACGTAACGTTACAGACTTAACATCCTCACGGCCACCGCTCTAAAAGACCTACTGCGCCTGCGCATGCTTCTGCACCCGTGCATTCTGGGATTTGTAGTACAGCGTTATAAAAGAAATTCTGCTTCATTCTGAGCGGGTGAGGGCAATATATGTT